TTATTCATGGCTTATTTAACGACACTGTCCGTACCTCAGACTTCGACATCAAATTATGACTGATGAATTGGAATGGATATGAGACGAAGCAGACATGGCTTAATCCAATGTATTATAGTGGCATCTGCATGGACTAATGAAAAGAGCATGCCTGAAGAGCTTGAAAACTGGATTATTATCTGTCGACATCGATTTAACCACAAGTTGTCTCGATTTGACAAACAACCATTTCAACGAACAAAATTAAAAAGCATACGACTAAAGAATCATTTTCAACCAATATAGTAATTTGAACACAAGATTTTCCAATGACAGAACATACATTCGAGAACAAGGCCATCCGAAATAAACGAATGCAAGACAATTGTAAGAACAAATGTAACTACGTATAACACATGTTTACGGACATGAAGGTTTGCTAATAATACAACTATAATCGACATATTAACGGACAGAAAAACGAGCACGAAACAAAATTAATAACGTCGCTGCTCCACGTACTTACCTCAACCATCTTCCAGGAAAGTACCAGTCACAGATTCCGAACTATAAACGTAGTTTCTTCCTTTGAACCGCGCCCTCTTCCACTTAGGACCTATAGATCACAGATTAAAAAGTTATGGTCGAATTCGATATACGTCCGTTTATTGTAATCTACGAAATTCAACTCTGTATGCTAGATTGCAGTCATGCTAATGGCCCTTACGTTACTCAGTGTTTGCAGATGTTAGATTAACACATGATTTTCTTTTGCAATTATCCATTATGAAGTAGGTTATGTTTGCTTATGATAATGAATGTTGGAACAATTTTGGCTCAATTTGGCGCCCTATTCAAAATAAACATTGATTGCTCACAATTAGTGTTCGCAATTTTTATATAAATATTTTCAGACCATATGAAATATGTTACTGCTACTTATTACCTTTACTATACGCAGTGAAAAATGACCTTTTACCTGCACATGCATATGTTGATTACAGCAAACAACACTAATATGTTAATGCAAACTCATATATGCACAATGCTCATGTTCAATACACTGTGTCATTAAAAGACCCTCAATCACTTGTGGTAAAATAAAACTCAAAGACAAAAATCACATTTCCAAGTTATGAACTGTAATTATGTTTTCTTTTTAACCAATAAGTACTATCTAAAATAAGACTGAAATTAAAAATAAATTACAAAAAAAAAAATTCACTCTAGCATACAACACTCAAATATACAAACATGCAATCTCTTTTTATAGAGCTGCTTCAAATAATATTTACTGTTTCAATTTGTAATAACAAATCATTTTTATACATTGTAAACTAATGAAATTCCTTCTTTGAAATTGTAATAGTGCATGTCTGTCCCATTTCACTGCAGATATAAATATTACACACAATAAGTGTTGATTTTTCACTCAACTCACTACAAACATTATGGCTGCAATCACCTACAATAACAATGTAATAGCCAAGAAAACTTATGTTGTGAGCAAAACACTAGCACTTTTCAATGCAGGGTCTTCAAACTCTGTATGGTGAGAGATCTCTGAAATGTAATTAAACTTGTATTGAGAAAAGAAAATTGAAAGTAACTTATAAACTGGGAAAACTGTTTTGATTTCATAACAATAACTGACAAGTAACATATGTACATGTACTATTAACATACCTGCAAAGTCTAATATTTCAGAACCTTAAAAAGCACCATGGAAAAAATGAATGCTTCAGTACCAAGAAACACTTCCAGTTTTTGTTAAACAGTATGGTATGGCATACTAATATAAGACAACCACAAACTTCATAAAAGAAGTATTTTATTATTAGCTATCACAAAAACTTGTATATTATTTTAATTTGTAGTAGAATTGTATATCTTGATATGATGTTAGAAACATTTGGTTTTGAGTGAACAATATAACACAGTCAACTATTAAGAGAACATTTGTAATTTATGAAGAAACACTTGCACTCTAGGTGATATGAGTGAGAACACAAAATTCAAGTTTTTGAAGATAAAATGCTCATAAAAATGAACAATTAAGGACACTACACAACAAACCTTGTGATTTACATAGGGCCACCAAATTTTATTAGGATAGCGAAATCTGAAAGGCTGGATATATACCATGGATGGAACACAAAAAATCAGATAATTTTAGTAGGGAAATGTCATTGGACAGAGAAGGGGTGGGAGGAAAGCATCAAAACAGATCTTATGGACACATGTTCTGAGAATAGGAGGTAGATGAGACTGGTTCAGGATCATCTATATTATCACAGTATTACTAAGTGAAATGTTTCTGATGACTGGCCTTTCTTGTTTATAAAATAAATATTGCTTAATAAATTTCATGGCAAGTTTAAAGGAAATAAAATGTACTTGCACATGTACCAGTTAGTCACCTAATCATTCTGGTAACCAGTGACTGTAAAGTCATTTGTCACAAATGATCGGTGGCCACTGTTCCCAAACAGTCGGGTACTGGTCAGGAAACTGTGTTGCTGTTTACTGTTTTTACCAGATGATGGAGTCATGCTCAAGTGTGACAGTGACGTTTCCTCCTGAATTGATGGTTCTGAGGATAACAGCATTGCATTCTCTGAACATTTCTTTCCTCTAGACTGAGGTTTCTCATGTTTCACCACCCTAACATCCAATTTTCTGGAAAGAAACATAAGTGTGTCAGCACTTCTAGCAGAAACTGTCTGCAATGTAACAAAATTAAGACAAACAGAGTGATATATGAACTCAAGAGTTTATTCTATACTGTGTTTGGTTATCATTATACCAAGAGTAGCTTTGTTTTTATTTGTGAGATTAATGGTAACAGTTGAGACTGAACACGCAGCACTTCAGTAATGGACATAAATGCTACAGGTTAACATTCAAGTTCAATATTCAAAGAATTATTGGTAAAAGTGCAATATGACATCAGTTTACATCTATCCACAACTAATTACCCGTGGCCAAAGAGGATAGTATTTGAAGTACTGTAACAAAAACCCACCTTTCTTTGTGTGGCTGATGTTGCTGCTGCACTCTTCTCTTACCAGATCTACTTGACAGCAACCGACGTTTCCTCCTAGCAACAGTCAAGAGCAGATTATAACAGTGGATATATTTTGAAACAATAACAGACCAGCACTGGGGATCAGGTCTGAATTATTCATGTGTCTAAATGGAAAATAGGCAAAGTTACCTCATACAACATTGGAAAATTACAGATTATTTCATACATTGATTCTGCAGTACAGGATACAAATGTTACATAAATTACCTTGTATTAACACAAATAATTTAACTGAAAACATAAAAACTTACTGAGGTAGAGTACAAAGTTTATCATATTATCCTTTGTAGCCCAGATAGGATTTTGAGTTTTCAGATTGGCTATCATGCAATAAAGACTACTTACCACTGAAGTACAGATATTTCTAGAAATACCAGATTCTTTTTCCACAAAGTATTATGTAAAAAACCAATACTGAAATTATCTGAACTTTCATAATCCATTTTTAAGCCAAGAAAAGAAATGCATGTAAATTAATGGGCCCAAAATCCTCTTGTGAAGAGGCAAGTTGGGAAACCTCAATATATAAATGGAATGTTAATATTAAAAATATGAGGACTGAACAGTGGTGAAAATTTGGATTGTGGTCTAATGGATTATGATATCATGTAGTACTGTAGAGTCCAACAATGTTATGATGAGGACATCTGATAAGTTAAGAAACTTAACAATTGGTTACAGCAAGTATAATATACATTTAATTAAAATGCTAATATAGATATGTACTTTAAATTTGGCATGAGTATTCTAACAATAATGCAACTTACCAACAGCTGATGACTATAACTGTACTGTAAGCAAAGCCATTCCATTACATGCCAATGTTGGCACTTAGGGAGAGGAGGTATAGCTGCTATTTATTCTCAATCTTGGCACTAGAAGGGGATGTGTGGTCATCAGTACACCCGGACACTATTTATCCCCAGAAAAGAACCCCAGTACCCACTGGACAGGAGAGCCAGTATGGATGCATAGGCTAGAAGAAAATTCTTTGCCTCTGTCAGGGATTGAAACCCTAATCACCTAGCCTATAGCCAGTCACTATACTGACTGAGCTATCCAGCTCACCATAACTGTACTACAATATTCCCAAAAAATATATGTGGGTGGAGGATAGTCTTTGACCAGGAATGGTTTAGAACATGAGAAACAGGTCATACAATCATTCTAAATATGACTGTAGCAAAATTCTCAACAGTAAACACTACATTCTTATCTGTTCTTTAGCATAAAGTGCACGAGTGTACTTCACAGCGAACACTGGCACTGGATTCAATGAGCTTTCAAAATGTTTAACTACTACTTTTATTAGAAACTTTATATAGTATACATAATCAGACATTCAATAAATTCACTACCAGAACACTGTTGACAGTGTGCGTGTTTGAATGATTTCAAATCAGAAACAAAAGAAAAATAAATATCAACAATGCTCAATCGTACCTCTGACATTATGAATCCCATCACAAGGGGATCATCTTACAACAGTAAGTACAAAATTATCCCTATGCCTCAGCACCATTCAATGAGGTCACAGAGGGGATGTAATAGCAAAGTTCAAAGCATTTGAGTGGTCACATTCATGCTCTAACCACTTGACATCTAGGAAATATCACCAGTACATAATGGATACAAGGAGGCTGGGTGGACAGTTGCCAGAAAATATTATATTCACCTCTCCTAATCATTAATGATTTGATAATTTCTTCCTTTCATTATCAGGTACAGGGAGGTGGGGGATTACACAAAGTGACATAAGCAAAAATGCTATCTCTGCCATTTCTTGTCGGTATCCTGAATTATACACCAGTACTATTCATGATCTCTGCACTGATGAATACAAATAAAGTGAGACTGTTTACATTTTTACACAAAATAAATCAAGAGCTATAAAGGCAGACACGTGTATGTTTGTTTGAGGATATAGATTAAAGAAACACAGGTGTTACCAGTTTCTCCCAGAACCTCTTCTTTATGGTGGCTACAGTGTAGATGAAAATCAAAACTTGGACACTTGTTTCCAAAGAAAAGAACAAGGTAAAACTCAAACATAATTAAAATAAATCACCAAACACTACCATATCACAGTAGTTACAACAGCAAATATTCCAGAGCCCCTTTCATTTACCAATGGTTTGTTAAGTGAGAAAAGAATTCATCAACACCCACAGACATTTCCATGCTTAAACCTTTTACAACCCCTTCCCCAATCTTCTCTTATCCTCAAACACGAGCTCCTCTTGTGTCCACTCTTCTCTACTCTGTTCTGGTATCTTCCCTCATTTCATCTCCCCCACCCTGTCTTTGGTCGCCACCACCATAACCAACACCACCTGGCAGTTAAACACTTAGGCCACTTGCTGTCCTGTTGCTTCCTCATTCATCCAAAAGTCTGGGTCATCCTGCATCTTAATCATTGTGGTTTGTCTTGTTGCTTGGTCTTCTAGATATTCTATTCAACATCTTCACTTTCTATGCTCAAAGGAAATGGACAACAGGATAAGAAGAAAAGAATTCCTGGGACTAAGTAGGCAGATTGCAACATAAAATGAAGCACAGAAACAATAAACATAAAACAAAGTGGGTGTGAAGGCCAGGAAACAAAATGTTTCAATGATATGGACATGTATAAAGAACAGGAGAACACAGATGGCAGACAGAGCTAATTTAATGGATACCAAGCAGTGGGGGGCACTGAAGACCAAAATAAGTTGAAAGGAACTGGAGTAAAATCCCTGGAGAAGTTAAAGAAGCCCTGTTTTCAACAAAAGAGAGCTCGCTCAAGAGACCTTAGCTATGCTCTTAAATAACTACTGTATTAACAGTTAAAAACCATTAACAGATGATTCCAACCATGAAAGGACTGTTAGGTAAGACAGTCCCTTTACAATCCTTTGTAAAATATAACTGAACATCTCATCAGAAATATGTACAAGAGCTTAAGAGGAACACTATGATTGGATGGTCACAGCATACTTCAAATGTACGAAAATTCTCACTGATCACACCACATAGGTAACTACACAGTCTGTAAAATACAGTACAATGACAACCTTCCATTTTTCCACACAGTAATCAATTAAAAATATTTATAATAAATATAAATTATCAGTATCTGATATACTATAAAAGGTGGAAAAAGGAGGCATAAGATGTTCTGACTACATTTCAAGTTAGCCTATAGTATTTAACATTATTCTGAAAATCAAAAAGATTGTATACCAAATTGCACAACTAATTACCGCTGATTATATGGCTTATCATCATTATTTGTCTCTCTACAGTCCTTGGGTTCTACACATACGAGAAGTTACAAAATATATTTGGAAATTTGGTATGACTCCAGTGCATCACAAGGCCTCCACTTATACAGGACAACACAACACAGAAAGATGCATACAAGCATCCATTCCTTTAGTGGGATTCAAACCCACAGTCCCAGTGTCCAAGCAAACAAGTCCCACGCCAAAATCCGTGCAACCAGCAATTAGGTGGCACAACAGTCTGATATTTATTACAGTTTAGCTAGGAAAATTTTAATGCAAAAAAGTAGGAGAAAATATACTGGTAATTAGGTCACCCACTACTAAAGCAGAGACTGTGAAGAGTAATCCGTAACTATTTTAAGAAAAATGTGACCTGAAGAAGGGGGAATTCCTTTCATGCATGTAGGATTTATTTTTTAGGATATTTATGGATATCTGAGATGTGGGGGCTAATTTTGGAATGATGTGCATAACTTTTTAAAGTAATGGCAATATGGAACTATAGGAATTGTGTTAATGAGAATTTGGAAAAATAGGAATTACAATGAGAAGAATTTGGTACAAAAGGAACCAAAGTATTAAGAATTTGGCATGGCAGAAACCAAAGTGAATCTGAAATAAAAGGAACAATAGTGAAGTTTTTTTGCAGGTTAAGGATTATAAAAGCTATTGAACTGTTGCTCATATATTTAATGCACATCTTGCTAAATTCTACTGTGGAATTTCATATGGAATGACAGCCTTTGTAACCTTCTGAGGCTGTGGCATATCAGGTGACTGGCTCAGAAAACGGGGTGCCTAATAACTGTAATAAAACACAAAAAACCTGTTACAATGATATTTACCCAAAATCCTATAAAGGAGTTTTGCATTTTTTAATGCAATGATACTCATAGTGCTAAAACATGAGAATGTTACACTTTTTCAGTCAATCTGCAAAATCACATACATTCTCTATGATGTGCTCATTTCACTCCAGAATGTTTTGAATGCTAGTATGTCTAATACATCTACCATGAGATAAATTTCAGTATATTCTCTCTTTCAAAAAAACTTCTTTCATTCTTTCTGACATGCTTTTCAGGACTCATGGAAAGAGTAATATTTGATCTAATTCAGTCTTTCAACCTTTCAATCCCTAAATCAGTAGCTGAAAAACACTGTCTCCAAAAGTGAATTCAACAAGTATATAAGTTACACATAATTATGAATTAAATAATATTAATTTGGGTTAGACTCAAGATGCTTATTATGGCTGAATGGACAGTCTGGGTACCTACCAAATTCATACTTGGTTTTATTACACATAACACATTTCTGTAGAAGTTAATAGAATCAGACAACGTAACAGTTTTGAAACATGCTTGGCAAGTTGGCCTACCATTTTACATGATAATTAAAATTTTAAATTCACATTTTACCAGTGTTTATATTTTCATAAAATTTAATGCTATAACCTATAAAAATACAAGTCCAGAACTAATTAAAATAGATATTTGATTCTGTGAGTGTGTGTGTGTGTGTAAACAATATTTTACACTTCAGTGATATGATTACTTTATGTCAATGAAATAGTGAGCATTTAAAAAAAGGATATGCTGATACTTCCTACTCTTACATACAAATAACATCAGTCTTCATGTTTTGCAGTCAGTGATTAAGTGTTAGCGGATGTTATAAATCAGTAATCCTTTTCACATGTAATTGTATGTGAGAGATACAAACATGCCGAAACTTACCCTGTGTTGAACTCCTGGTCTGATGTTGCTTCCTCGGCTTCCTCCCCTTGCTCCTCTTCTTCTGCTGTAACAAAATTCACATCAACTTAAGACTTTATCAAAATATGGAATATGAATGTTATGACATCACAACTTACTAAACTGTTACTTTGATAACTC